TAACTTTGTCCCGATTCTAAAACTAACTCGAGACGAATTACCTGTGGAATAGGGTGTGTATGAGGGATGCCTTCTCTGTCCTCTTTATCCTCTCTTGATTCAGATTATTTTCAAAATCCTAAATTACATTGCTGGTACAACCTAATAATCAATAAAGAAAAAAAAGCGAATAGACGAGTTGTTAAACAAAATATGTGTTTTAAGAGCCTTAAAGAACTATTATATTCCATAATTTGGGGGCAGCCATCAGATCGACCTCCAAGTGTAGTACCTAAAGTCTTGCTTAGTAGTGTTGCTATTAATTGTAGTTCGTAAAATGGTGTGAAGGGGATAAATAGGGGGGGAAATGATTACGCAACAATGCTTCGCATTTCGCGATCGAAAAAGGGCCAAAGGGAGGAAGCCAAGAAAAAAGGGGGCGGGATCTGTAAATGCAAGGTACGGAGGGCGGGAGATTTGGACCCCACCCTGTCCCCCTAGTAGGCATAAATAGATTGTGCTCGGCAACTTTTTGAGCAACTTTTAGCGTTTTGAGCAACTCTTTGTAGTACCAGCAACCTAGGGCAACTTTTGCCTTCCTTGGCAACTTTTCAGCAACAAATTGATATGAAACCGATCCAAACCATAAAAGGTCATTTCATTTCGAAGGATTTTATTAAAACTGGTTTTATAAAAACTGATTTTATTAAAACTAAGGATATACAATAAAATGACAATAAAATAACACTTGCATTACGCCCACGAAATCTGGACAGCGGCTATCTGTATATCTGTAAGAGTATATTGATTACAACATAGTATTTATATTTGTTATATAACAATGGCTTTTGGCCTCTTTTAATGATTGTAAGAATATTTAATGAAAATGTTTAAATAGCAACAAAGAAACAAACACGTTTTGAGTATTTATCTAAAACAAAACGACTCTAGAGCAAGCAACTTTTCTAAATTTTGGTGGCAACTTTTTGATATTTGAGCAACTTTAGAGCAACTTTTGGGTATATTGTGAAGCAACTTTTCCTGAATTTACTAGCACAATCTATTCATGCCTGAGTGTAAGGGTAGGGATTTCATGAGTTGAAGTATATGAAAAGCTATAGGGAGATTTATCTTTAAGGTATTTGAAATGCTCTTAATTAAATATTTCGAACAGGCGCATCTTATGAGGCACTGTAGAATTTAATGGTACCAGGATATGATGTGCTCCTGATGGTACACGAAAAAGATCAGATTTCCCCGAGATATTGAAAGGTATGTGTAAGTGGGACTTTTTCTTCAATGTATAATGAAGGTTTTTTTTAATATTCAAACAATCAAAAATTTTAACAAAATTTTCGAATTGAAAATTTTTTGTTACTTCGACAAATGAACGGGCAGTTCCACAACAGTTCCTCTTTATTCCTTTTCTCTTTCCCAGGCTAGCGCGGTCAAATAGGCGAAACTAAACATCGAAGAGAGGCAAGAGACGACACGACAAGACCGAGTGACAAATGAGGAGCTGCATTAAGTCCCTTTACTAATTACGTTGAGTGACGGTTGCCATGCTTAATTCCCTGTTATAATGTAATTAATTTTGACCAATCACTATTTTCACGCTCTAAACCTGAGCGTGAAAAATGGAGAAAACAATGTTCTCCTTGCAGGCGCTCCTTAGTTTCTCCCTCCCACTCACTCTTTTGTATACTGTGGCATGAAGCTTGGAACATCAGGCAATTGAAGCATTAACAGTTACTTAGTACTATAAACAGGGGCATTTCAAACGGTGGGAGGGGGGAGAAGGCAGAGGGCCGGGTCTCTTTCATGGGGGATCCCACCAGCTACACAGGCTACAAATGTACATGAAACGGGCACTATAGTATGACTCACCTGCCAATTAATGTACACATTCTACCTCACTGTTCTGTTTTGATTTGTTTGACTCTTTGTTCACAATATTTGGTAGCCTGCGAAGGCAGATGTACTTCCGATTCTCGCTTTTCTCCACCAGAAAAATAACGATGTTACTTTTAGCGACAACTGGAAAAACGTCTGCGTAGAAAAACGTAGCCTGCGTTGCCGGCTTTTTAGAGCGAAGGGAGAAAACTCGAGAACGCGCGCGCAAGGGTAGAAAAGGAGAGGAAACATTTTCTTCCCGTCGCGCGTTATCCTTGCGCGAGCTGTAGGCTACACACCTGCTTCGTTTTCACATGATGTCATGACCGCCATATCGGTGTACCACAACAATGAAACCGGCTGCCATGTTAGTGTCATTTTTTTAATTAATAGGTGGGATGTCGAAAACAATGGCTTCCTTGCAAGCGGTTCCACTCCTCCCTCCTCCCTCGCGTGTGGTCTTGCGCCCTGATTCCCTTCCCCTTCCCTTTCGAACGCCTGCCACGCAAGCTAGTAAAAACGTTATTTTGTTCCAATAAATTGTATAGTTCCCTACCACGAGTGAAAACGATTTATTGATGTTTTTTGATTGTGCTGCGTGCTGATATTCTGTAAACAGCATTTCCAATAGGAAAAATTTTCTTCAAAACAGGAGTCAAATGTTACACCCGCTGACTCAGAACCGGCTCCTTAGTCTCCACAACAGCCTCTTACTTCTATCCCAAGGGTACCCTGGGTGCCAGAGGCTTTTCATGCGCGGTTTCCGGTTTCGGATTGAGCGAGACACAGTCTAGACTAGACCGCGAGCGGTCGTCCTTCTTTCCTTAGACCCACGCGCGTCGAGCGAAAAGGTAAAATTATGCAAATTTTATTAATGGCAAAAAAGGAGGAGAGATCGGGGCTGGAGAGGAAAAAGGACGACCGCGGAGGTTTAATCGTACGGAACGGAAATTTCGATTGGTCGCTTACTTGTCAATCTGTCAACAACAAAAATAGCTCAGTCCCAAAGGAGTGCAATTTTCACGGCGGCTTTTTGCAGCACATGGCGAACAGACAAGGTCGGTGAACTGCACTCCACTGTTCCAAATGGTCTTCAAGGAAGGCAATTGCTTTTGTGGAACCTTGACTACATTCTCGGTCAAAATATGTTCTCTTTTCGCACCATACTTTTTTTAGTACGTAAGGATGAAATGACAATTTCAGTTAGTTTGCCCGGTCTATAATATTGCCAGGCTTCTGGACCCTTTTTGCTTTCTTTCTCGCTTTCTTTTAGAAACTCCCCCTTTTTTCGGGATTTTCAGGATTTATTTCGCCACCATTATTGCAATATCTTACAGATAACTGGAGAGCTATGAGATCCTTTTTGAAAACCATATTTTATATGAAAAAGTCATCTCAATAAAGATTACTATTATTATTATTATAATTATAACCAAACAGCAGTGAAAAGACAGTCGAAGACAAGCTGTTTGTTTACAGCGAAAAGCACGCGAAATAAATGGATCGAGGAGCTGTCAATAACAGCAAAAAATAAGGAGGCGTGAAAAACGGCAAATCGCCAGATCAGAGATCCTATCGCAGTCTCTTATTTTTTCTTCGCTTGGGCTCCGCCCTCGTCTCTCGCAGCTTCGCCGCTCGCCCCTCGCGCCCGTCCTCGTTTTTCGTGCTTGCATTCTACCGTGTCTCAAAAGAAAAATAAGACACCGCTCACAGTCTAAGTCTAGACGGGATTGAGGAACCATATGTGGGGGCCTCCTTACAGACGCAAGCTAAGGCGTAAAGACTAGTTTAGTGCTCTTGGAATACCAACAGTATATTACCATTAAACGGTGACGAGAACAAAAAATTATATGAAAAAAGAAAGAAAGAAAGAGCGGCAAGAAGACTGCACTTTGCCGGGGTATTAAAAGGGAGAGAGTTTGACTATATTTCTGCATAAGGTAGGCAATAGATACATCAAAATTAACAGATAATAACAGTTATAGAAAATAATTGAGACATAAAAGTACATGAAAAGAATCCTAATCTGTATTTCAATATCAATAGACTGCGCTTTTACTTGTTGATATCAGTCATTACACAAGACACTACAAAAACCAGATCGAACATGTTCCTTTTAAAAAATAGCCAGCGAAAACATCCGTTTCTCCTCGCTCTTCGCCGCCGGGGACGTTTCGCGAGGAGGAACTTCTGTCACCGCTGAGTCGCAGACGTTCCTCCGCGCGAAACGTCCCCATCGGCGAAGAGCGAGGAGAAACGGATGTTTTCGCAGGCTATTAAAAAAACACTTGTTTCTTCATTTGAAGCACACTTAGAGGTCCTGGAAGAAAAAATAATTAGAACGGTAGCCCACCGAGACAAAAATTCTTGTCGAGGCAATTTAAGAACAAGATGCATGAAAAAATAACTTCCAGCCGCTTCCTTGCCTTTTAACTTTCGTGCTTCAGGCCTGTCAATATTACAACCTTGATCTCTGACGTACTATCAAAAATTAAATTCATCCTCCTTTTAAAAGCGCACATCCACTTTTTTGTTTATCTTAGAGGCCTCATTAAAAGAAGCTGCACCAGCGACACCCACACTGTTATCAGTCAAATCCAATGTTTCCAGGGAGGAGTTTGCTGAGAGGGCCTGGGAAAGACAAGAAGCACCAACGTCACCAATTCCATTATCGCTTAAATCCAAAGTAGTCAGGGAGGAGTTTGCTGTGAGGGTCTTGGAAAGGAAAAAAGCACCAACTTCACCGATGCCGTTACCATGCAAATTCAACCTAGTCAGGGTAGAGTTAAATTTGAGAACGTCGGAAAGGAAATAAGCACCAACGGCACCAATGCTGTTATTACTCAAATCCAAGGAATGCAGGGTGGAGTTTACTACGAGGGCCGAGGAGAGAGAAGAAGCACCAGCGTCGCCAGTTCTGTTATAACTCAAATCTAAGGAATGCAGGGTGGAGATTGCTGTTAGGGCCTTGGAAAGAGAAGAAGCACCAGCATCGCCAATTCTGTTTTGACTCAAATTCAAGGAATGCAAGGTGGAGTTTGCCGTCAGGGCCGTGGAAAGAGAAGAAGCACCAGCATCGCCAATACTGTTAGCACTTAAATCCAAATGAGTCAGGGAAGAGTTTACTGTTAGGGCCGTGGAAAGAGAAGAAGCACCAGCGTCGCCAATACTGTTAGCACTTAAATCCAAATGATTCAGGGAAGAGTTTGCTGTTAGGGCCGTGGAAAGAGAAGAAGCACCAGCGTCGCCAATACTGTTAGCACTTAAATCCAAACGAGTCAGGGAAGAGTTTGCTGTTAAGGCCGTGGAAAGAAAAGAAGCACCAGCGTCGCCAATCCCGCTGCCACTCAAATCCAAGGAATGCAGGGTGGAGTTTGCTGTGAGGGCCTGGGAAAGAGCGGAAGCACCAACGTCACTAATATTGTTAAAACTTAATTTCAAGGAAATCAGGGAAGAGTTTTCTGTGAGGGCCTTGGAAAGAGAAAAAGCTCCGTCGCCATTAATGTTGTTGAAACTCAAATCCAAATAAGTTAGGGAGGAGTTGTTTTCGAGGACCACGGAAATCGCAGCAGCACCAGCATCCTGTATGTCAGTGGTAGACAAATCTACTTTAGTCAAGGAAGACATGTCAAGGTGCATACCGAACGTATTCTCTGGGGTAGTTACACCTTTCTTTTCGTTAAAATGCCGTCCTGTAAGGCTTAAAAAGTATTCAACTAAACATGAACAAGCCAACGTCATATACGATTTCACTTTTTGGTCGGATGTGCGGAGAAGACCACTAATATGCTCAGCCATACTAATAAAGATGGATTCTCCAGTTTCCTCCTTGTTTGAAGCTATGATTCCACTCATGAACAATAAAACCTCTTTCAGTTCCTTCAAATATCTTTCATCGGTTAAAACTTGGGCAAAGTCTGTTTGTCCGTCGATAATCTGAAACGCAAGATAAAGTCCAGCAAAAAATTCCTGAAAGCTTTTGTGTAAAAATGCACAGCGCGTGCAAGGTTTGCTCCTGGTGCCGCCTTGTTGAAAAGACAAGAACCCAAAATTGAAAGCGTTGACGATATCGTTATTTTTTTCAAAGTACAACTCTCCCTTACGGAGGGAATCTAAGGCGAAGCTGCCCAAAAGCAAAAGTTCTTTCCTGTAAACTGAAATCAAGTCTTCATGGCTACTTGCAAGCCCATATTTTTCTTCATATCGTCTCAAAACAAGGAGAGCGATTTCAATGTACAATCGGGTTCTGCTTTTTGAAAAAACGTGTTCGGAATCTTCAAAAATAGAACAGATTAAAGCCACATTAAGTGGATTTTTCATCAAATCGGCGAAGCCGCGGTTATCATCAGTTGGGTAATCATACCAAAGATCAACACGTTTAATCAAATTCTCAGCTAAGTGATCCTTGCCCTGAAAATATTTTCTGATAAAGCTTTTGGAATCCTCTTTAGTAAATCCTACAATCTCCCACAGTGTGTCACAGTATGGCCTTATTTCCTTTCCGTCCTCATGACGCGAAGTAATGACAATGTGGCAAGCTGGGAAGAATCTACTCTGAACAAGTAAGAGGAACATCTCTTGTTTACAGGAGTCTGCCTCATCTAAGCCATCAAGTAGAAGCAGCACTTTGGACTCGTTTTCCTTGATGTATTTGAAGAAAGTCTCCTTAGCCTCTTTGTCGATATCACGAGGAAGAATTTGATCATCAATGGCTTCCTCAATGCTAGTTTTAATATCGTTGCATCGAAGCAAGAGCAGCACTTCAATCACTGGAAAAGACTCGTCCCATTCATATTGTTTGTTTGCCCAGTCATACGCCAGTTTTTGTGAGTAGGTGGTTTTTCCCATGCCAGGATCCCCTTCAATCAAAACAATCCGTGGCTCCTGACACTTCGGATGCGGCCTAAAGATGGCGGTCATGTTGGTGATTTCATCGTCGGTCAGTGTTCCTCGTGTTTTTTCTCTGTTCCGGATTTTCAATCGGGTAAAAATATCATTGAGGTTGAAATTAGGATAATCACACCAAGTGAATGGTTTAAGCTGCCGTTCACGGACTTGGTAAAGCTGGCGAATCCTTTCTGTGATGTAAGCGGGCAACCCTACAAAGACAATATAGTACAGATAAGATCGATTTGGCTTTTTTTTAAACAGGGGCACAAATCTAGTATGGTATGGTGGAATCACGATATAAAAAACCGTCTACACACAGCAAAGTCCTAGCTCGGTTTAAGGAACGATATTCTTCGCCTGGCTCCAGTAGTAATAGAATCACATAGAAAAGAACATAGAAAAGAACCTCGATATAAAATATACTTCGTTGTAGGAAACATATTTCGCCGGCCCCTTAAGATCCCTTGCTTGGCCCTTCGTTATATCAAGGTTCCACTTCATACAGTATACGATACGGTATGCTTTTGTAATATGTGTACAACGAATTAGTTATAGACGAATTTGCATGAACACTTGCAATGATTCTCAGTACGTCAGCTAAGAGAGGCATGAATGCGGGGATAAATTCTTTTACCAAATAGCTACTTTGTCTTTGCTTTTTATTTTTTAAAATTATTTTTGCATTTTAGACTTAGCGGTCAAGTTAAACGGGCGTGTGGTTACTTGTTGGTGAATTATTTTCTTCCTAGACTGCAAAATAGTCGATCCGTTTCTTTCGCTTTACCAAAGGCTGCCGCTAAGGGCATGATACGCGTTAGTTCTCGCGAGCACTGTACGCAGCCTTTTAAACGCATGTCAGTCTTTCCACAATGTCACTCAATCTCTGCCCCAGAGCTCTTCTACACATAACCAGGAAGGAAGGAAGAGAAGAGTACTTGGGAACCCTAGACAAGATTTTCTCTAATTATGTTGAGTTAAAACAATGAAAGCATTTTTTAATAGTCCATTCAAGGTCGCCCGAAAGGTGAATTTGCGGCGTGTTGAGCATGGGAGCGCGAGCCTGAGCAAAGGACTGGAAAAAAAAACCCAACAAGCCCAGCCGATTTCCAGTTTAGCGAATCCAATATGCCGCATCTACGCGACTACTTAAGCAGAATAACAGCATTTTCTGATAATTCCTCAATCTCTAATAAAATATATCAGCTACGGTCCGTAATCGAAAATTGACCAGGAACCAGACTTAAGCGCATGCTCATTAATTAAATTACTTTTTTTTCCATTTTTTTATTAATTCTATCGGTTAATCATTCCTCTCACATTTATCTTAGCGATCTCAGAGTGTATTTCAAAGTAGAAGTGTATTTCAGAGTAACCTGAAGTAGGATGGAGGAGTACTAAAATCGAAGAAAAAATTAGTGGATTATGCCAACACTACCAACGTTGAATTTATTGTCGTCCCGGAGGTTTTATTCCATGGTTGATTAAGTTACAGTTATTTGCACATAACTTGATCAAGTGACTGCCAGGGGAGTGTGCTGCTTGGTTCTTTGACATCATCATGACATGATCACATTGCTTGCATAGACGATACAGCATGTCGCGGCAGAAAAACAGCATTTTGATAAATGAGCATGCGCTGAACCGTGAACCTGTCCCTTTAATAAAGTGATGCGTGTCTCAAGTAAGAAGTATAGCAAAGAACTAGGACTATTTTCTCAAGATATCGCATTTCGTAATTACAGTATTAATGAAAATAAAAAAATTAAAATTAACTACAAGTCGAAAATTGCGCAAGAAATAAACAAATAAATGAAAGTCTTAAGCGACGCTAAATTCGTAATTTATTTGAATTGATAACTATACGTGTACCCTTAAAAATTTGGGTTACGCTTACTACTTCGTGGAGAAGTTCACCACACTTGAAAATTAGCAATAAACGTCCTGTCTTCCGCTTTCATGAAAAGAAGGAGCACAGCGCAGTTATCGCTGATGCAAGCATTTGGTTTTGTAAAGAGGAGCCGCTGTGAGGGTTGTTTAGCTACTCTGGTTTCCAAAGGCTAACGCGCGGAGTCAAAAGCGTGAGCCCGGGAGTCGAAAATTCGAACTGGTGGCTCGCTCCGCCTCAGAGCAATTCGTTTTCAAAATTCCAAAACAATTTCACAACTGAATTTTGAACCTCTCCAGACTTCTGCTCCAACGATTTCTCTGAAATTTTTCCAGGATATCTATCATCTCAATGAAAACTGATACCTGAAACTTCAGTAAAAAATATGAAATATCAGCAAAAACTTCTACTAGACGCGATTTTCTTTTTGGGCTCCATTTAAGCGCTAATTTTGCAAGAAAACATTTACCATCAGTAAAATCGGAATACTTCATATTATTGCCGAATGATATTGTTGTTATTTGCAAAGTTTCGTAACCATCGCGTTAAAAAACCAAAACGTTATGACAAAAAGTTCCTCGTAGTTCAATGCGCCGGCATTGATAACGGAGCCACTTTAAGTCTTAAAAGTATTCATTTGCTAGAACTTGTTGTGTGCAGGTGAATTAAAGGTCGGCCAAGACTAAAGAAATTGAAATTAAACTGAGTTCAACCACACATGGAAAAAAATTGTTACCAAGGAAATAACTTAATGGACCGAATTCCGATACAAGAATCCAAAGCGCTATTATAAAAACGAACTAAGTTTTACCAGAAACTCATAAGGGGTTGAAACGTGTAACTCGCGTTCAATGCTCGTATTCACTTTTACCATATTTGGAAACCTTAGTGACAGATAGCCATTTTCAACAAAATGGCTGCCGCGCGATCACCATGCAGATGTTTTAAGACAAGAGTTCTGCATTTCAGGGTTAAAAATACACCGTCAAAAGACAAAAAATGGAAAGAGAAAGTTCAAAAGAATG